ACTGTACAGTCAAGATCTGAATCATAAAACTGATGCAATAATTTACAAAGGAAATGTTGGAGATAACGGTGGAGATAACATGGCTCAGAGAAGATCTCACCATCACTACCTGTGACTCCTGGAACAAGACGCTCAGTCTCCCTGAGTTTTATTATCCTCTTCTATTTAAAAAAAAGTCCGTTAAAAGAATCAAATGAGATTTAATGCAAGAGCTCCTTACAAGTAAAGATAGAATGAAAGTGAATATAAAATGTATTAAAATCTGTGGAACACAACTGAAGAAAGCTGTGCTCGGAGGAAAATTCTTACCACTAAATGCACACATTAAGAAGGAAAGGTTAAAAATCAATCATCTAAGATCCCTCTTCAAGAACCTAGAAAAAGAAGCGCAAAATAAACTCAAAGCAAGCAAAGAAAAGGAAATGAAGAAGGAAATAAAGGAAACATTCCCAAAGAAAGGGAATGAAGATCAGAAATCAATTCCATTGAAAAACAACAGAGAAAAATCAATGTAACAAACAGCTAGGTTTGGGGTGGGGGTGGGGGGTTGGCTTTTCATTTCATTTTGTTTTGTTTTGAGACAAGAGTCTCACTCTGTCCACCGCAATAGAGTGCTAGGGCTTCATAGCTCACAACAACCTCAAACTCCTAGGCTCAAGGGATCCTCTTGCCTCAGGCTCCCCAGGAACTAGGACTACAGGTATCCACCACAACACCCAGTTATTTTTAGAGAAGGAGTCTTGCTCTTGCCAAGGGGACCCCAGAAATGCCCTAAAGCTGAGTTGCTGCCCAGAGAAGAAAGGTCAGACAAGCCCCATTCTAACCCCCTCCCTTCTTGGAGATGTCATTTTTTGTTTTTTTGAGACAGAGCCTCAAGTTGTCACCCTGGGTAGAATGCCGTGGCTTCACAGCTCACAGCAACCTCCAACTCCTGGGCTCAAGCGAGTCTCCTGCCTCAGCCTCCCAAGTAGCTGGGACCACAGGTGCACGCCACAACGCCCAGCTATTTTCTGGTTGCAGCTGTCATTGTTGTTTGGCAGGTCCAGGCTGGATTTGAACCCGCCATCTTAGTTGTATGTGGCTGGCACCTTAGCCACTTAAGCCACAGGCGCCGATCCAGAGATGTCATTTTTTGACTCAGTAATAGCCCTAAGGCTATGCAAGGACAAAGCTTAAATCCCACTAGCAGGTCATCAGTTAACTTAACAGATCTCTTGAGTCTAGGTGTACATCAAATGGTTTGTCTCTGATTAGCAGACTTCCTTATCTTAACTTAAAACATCCTAAGCCTTTAGACCAGTGGTTTTCAACCTGTGGGTCACGAATCCTTTGGGGGGGACTCCTGCATATCAGATATTTACAATTCATAACGGTAGCAAAATTACATGAGGAACGATATTAAAGGGTCACAGCATGAGGAGGGTTGAGAACCACTGCTTTAGACAAAGTTTCATTTCCTTTAACCAATTATAAATCAAAGAATCTTTAAACCCACCTATAACCTGTAAGTCTTCCACTTTGAGATGTCCCACCTTTTTGAGCCAAACCTATATATATTGCCCATGTATTGATTTATGATTGACATGTAATTACTGTCTCCCTAAATGTATAAAACCAAAATGTAACCCCCAAGGCTTCTTGGGCATGACTCTAGGCCATGGTCCTCAAATTTAGCTGAGAATAAATCTCTTTAAATTATTTTACAGAGTTTGCTTCTTTTCCCTTTGACACAGGAATCAAGACTAAGATGTACCAAGAGATGAACTAAGCATACTAAGACGTGAACCCAGAAACAGACCCACACAATATGTTCAAATGACTTTTGATAAAAGTGCAACGAAAGTGCAAAAGAGGAAAGAGAACTTTTCCAATAAATGGTGCTAGAGCAACTGGACATCCATATGCCAAAAAAAACTGGCCCTTCACTTAAGTCTGAAACATAACAGAAATGTTAACTCAAAATGAGTCGTGGGCTTAAATGTAAAAAAAGTAAACTGTAAAACTTTTAGAAAAAAATAAAGAGAAAATCTTTGAGGCGTAGGCAAAGAGTTCTTAAACACAATACCAAAAGCACAAACCATAAAAGGAAAAGCTGACAAAATGATCTTTATCAAAATTTGATTAATAAAACTTCTGCTTTGCAAAAGCCTGTCAAAAACATGAAAAGGCAAACTATAGATGGGCTGGGCGAGATGGCTCACACCTATAATCCCAGCACTCCAGGAGGCCAAGGCAGAAAGACTGCCTAAGCTCAGGAGTTCGAGACCAGCCTGAGCAAGAGCAAGACCCTGTCTCTAAAAATAGCCTGGAGTCGTGGTGGGCACCTATAGTCTCAGCTACTCAGGAGGCTGAGGGAAGAAAATCAATTGAGCCCAAGAGTCTGAAGTTGCTGTAAGCTATGATGCCATGGCTCTCTACCTGGGGCGACAGAATGAGACTCATCTCCCCCCACCCCCCAAAAAAGAAAAACTACAGACTAAGAGAAAGCATTTGCAAACCACATATCTGAAATGACTAGTATGTATTGTACATAAACAACTTTAAACTTAACAGGAAGAATATTTTTCTCAATTAGAAAATAGGTAAGAGAACGATAGAAAGCAACATTTCACCAAAGACACACAGAAAGATGGCAAATAAGTGCAAGAAAAGATGTTCAACATAATTAGCCACTAGGGAATTGCAAGTTAAAACCACAATGAGGGCGGTGCCTGTGGCTCAGTGAGTAAGGCACCGGTCCCATACATAGAGGGTAGCAGGTTCAAACCTAGCACCAGCCAAACTGCAACAAAAAAATAGCCAGGCATTGTGGTGAGCACCCGTAGTCTCAGCTACTCAGGAGGCTGAGGCAAGAGAATCGCCTAAGCCCAAGAGCTGGAGGTTATTGTGAGCTGTGAAGCCACAGCACTCTACCAAGGGTGACATAGTGAAACGATGTCTCTTAAAAAAAAAAAAAAAAACACATACACACACAATGAGATATCACTATACACTCAGAATGGCTAAGCTAAAAATAGAGACAACACCTAATGCTGGTGAGGATGTGAAGAAACTGGATCTCATACATTGCCAGTGGGGTGGAAACGCTACAGCCACTCTGGTAAACAGTTCTTATAAAACTAACATGCAACTACCATATGACCCAGCGGTTACTTTTCTTGAACTATTTATCCCAGAGAAATTAAGACTTCGGTTTATATGAGGTCACACTATTTAAGTTACTGTACACAAATGTTTATAGCAACTTAGTTCATAATAGCCAAAAACTGAGAGCCATCTAGACATCCTTCTAACAAATCATGGTAATATGCAACAACCTGGATGAATCTCCAGAGACCTTTGCTGAGTGAAAACATCCAATCCCCAAAGGTTACTTACTCAGGGAGTCTATTATGTTTCAGTCTTGAAATGAAAAAATTACAGAAATAAAAAACAAGTTATTGATCGTCAGGGGTTAAGGAGGAGGTGAAATGGGAATGAAGTTGGAGTGGTTATAAAAGAGCAACATGCGGGATCCTCCTGGTGATGGAAGGTCCTTATCCTCACTGTACTAACATCTGTATCTTGGTTGAGGTCCACCTATTGTATTGTGGCTTTGCAAGATACTGAGGAAAACTGGGTTAGAGGGCTTGGGAGTTCTCATTATTCTGATTATTTCTTACAACTGCACGTGAATCTACAATTATCTCAAAATTTAAAAATTAGTTAAAAAATAAAGGTAGCCTCAAAGCAAATTAAGTACAGACAACTGACAAGAAATCTAACATCAGCTAAATGAAGTGCACACTTCTCCTTTGATGTGATCCTGAAGAGTACTCTGAGAATTCGAATTTATGAAACACAAGTTTCTCACCAGTAACCTCCAGTATTTCCCTCACTCAAAAGTGCACATAAACAGCAACTGTCACAAGGCAGTCCAGATAGAAAGACTGAGACTCCTCCAAGTACATGATAGAACCGAAAGAGACCCTGGCTGAATCAGGGAGAAAATCCTTGTCCGGGCTCTATAAAACAAATCAACTGTGTCACTTTAGACAGATCCCCTCATCTCTCAGTCTACAATCTAAACTGTTTCTACAACTTTAAACTTCTCATGTAGGAGAGTGCTTAGACCAGTAGTTCTTAAAACTTTTTGGTCTCAAGTCTCTGAAGGGCTTTTGTTTATACAGATTACAACCACTGACATGAACAGTATTAGACATTAAAAGGGAGAAAATTTTTTTAAAGAATACACAAAGACATGCTCCATTAGCTCTCAGAACAGTGGGGTCATTCTACATCACAGAAATCTGCTCCGTCTGGAAAATTCACGTATGCTTGCTTTGCGAGTGGCAAAGGCAAATAACCCCTTGGTATTGTTACGAAAATAACTGTGACCACACTGAGAACCACTGGCTTACCATCAAACGAGATAAATATACAAAAGTGATTCAAAAAGTACAAAGCACTGGACAAATGTGTTCTTCTAGAATTCAAAGACGCTAAGGCGGGAAAAAAAAAACCCGTTTCAAATCGTAATGGAGGACAACTTGGAAAACGGCAAGGTTGGATAAACGGGAAAGCTTTGGAAAGGCCGCGGGAGCCGGGCTTTACCCGGGGAGTGAGTGTCACCGAGGCCCGCAGAGCCGTAGATGACCACCATTGCATCACTCCGCTCTCTGCGTTCAAACACCGTTATGAAAGCGACAGACTCATCATAATCACTGTTTTGAATTTAACTTCTGACAAAGCCGGAGAAGCCAACCAAAGAGAACTCCCCCAGTGTCCGGCCGCCCAGCACCGCGCCCCCTGCCCTCCCCAGCCCGATGCGCGATGCAGCCCAGGGACCACGGGACGCGGCGGGTGACCCAAGGAAGGCGTGGGTCACAATCTGGCCCGGACCCGGAGCGACTGGGACGGGCCCGGGGGCTGAGAAAGGTCCGCGGGGACTCGGGAAGCGCGGACCTGGGGCCCCCGGCATCAGCCCTGGCAGAGGGGGCCTGGGAGTAGGCGGGACTCACCACCTGCCGCCCCACCTCGGAGGAGGCCATGGTTGCGGGCAGGAGCGCGGGGGGCGGTGGTCTCGGCCAGGACCCCGAGCGGCCAGTCCCTGTGGCGGCGGCGGTGGCGGCGGGAAGACCAGCGGGGAGGGGCGTAACGGGCGAGGCGCGGGGCGGGACGAGGGCGCGGCCGTGGCCCAGTGACGGGCGGGGCGACCTCAGCGGGCGGGCCGGGGCGGGACGGGACAGGGGCGGGGCGCGCCTTTGGCCGCCCGGGCTCTTAACGCGCGTAGAGCGAGCCCTATGCAAGTGTGCTCCTCGACGTTTAGGAGGACGGAGAGCCCGTGCAGGGTACGGGGGAAGTGAAGGGGAACCGGGACTCGAAAAGAAGACGCGAGGATTGATGCCGAGACCCTTCAGTCGGACGCCAGTAGCAGGCGGGAGCAGTGATTGCGGGCCCCCCCAGGCACGCGGATACCGGAAGTGGGCGGGGCGGGGGCGCGGATAGCCGCCTTCGTTGGGGACCGGAAGTAGGCGGGTCCTGGGCGGGGCAGCTGGCGGGGGCGTGCCGGCCCGGGCGCGGCCCCAGAGAGGCGGTGGCCAGGTCCCGCGGCCCCAGACACCGAGGCCGGCATCCTGCAGAGCCTGTCCGACCCCGCTGCCGTCGGAGCCCGCCTCTCGGAGCGTGCAGCGATGGCGCCGGACTGAGCCATCCGCCGGCAGAGGAGCAGCGCGGTAGGAGATGGAGGAGCCGGCGGGGCGGGGTGGCGAGGCAGAGCTAGGCCCCCAGACGGAGCTGGGCCCCGAGGCGGTGCTGCGCTTCCTCACGGAGCGTGGGGGCCGGGCCCGTCACTCCGAGCTGGTGCAGCACTTCAGGGGCGTCCTGGGCGGCGAGCCGGAGCAGCGAGCCAGCGCCCGCGCCCGTTTCAAGGAGCTGGTCAACGCCGTGGCCACCGTGCGCACCGACCCCGCCGACGGCTCCAAGTACGTGCACCTCAAGAAGAGGTTCTGCGCGGGGCCCCTGCCTCCCAATACCTCGTTCGCCGGGGCCCCGCCCCGCATTGAGGTGACCGCTGAGCCGGAGGCCCCCGACGGCCCGCCGGGAGCCGAGGCCCGCAGTCCGCACCCCGAGGCAGTGGCCCCCGGGCCGGGCCGCGAGCCGAGCTCTGGGGAGCCCCCGGGCGGCGGGGTGGACAGGAAGAACTCGCGGTGCAACGTGCCGCCCCTGCCCCGGCCGCTGGCCCCTGACCCCAGCGAAGACCTGGAACCCTTGCCTCATGGCGGCGAGGAGGCAGAGGGGGGCAGCTCTCCTGGGGTGGCCACCACCCCGAGGTCCACCCGCCAGAACTTCCGGGACCTGGTGATGGGCAGCTCCCCGCAGTTGAAGAGGAGTGTGTGTCCTGGGGTTAGCAGCCCAGGGAGCTCCTCGGCAGGAGGACGCAGCCGAGGCGGGGGCGACTCGGACAGCGCTTCGGTGGCTTCGTCCTCTGCGGAGGAGGAGAGCAGTGGCGGAGGATCGGTGACGCTGGACCCTCTGGAACACTCCTGGATGCTCTCGGCCTCCAACGGCAAGTGGGATAGCTTAGAAGAGTTGCTCGCCTGCGAACCTGGCCTGCTGGCAAAGCGGGACTTCATCACTGGTTTCACCTGCCTGCACTGGGCCGCCAAGCACGGGAGACAGGAGCTTCTCGCCATGCTGGTGAATTTTGCCAATAAACACCAGCTGCCAGTGAACATCAACGCCAGGACCAGCGGAGGCTACACCGCCCTCCACCTGGCAGCCATGCATGGGCACGTGGAGGTGGTGAAGCTGCTTGTGGGGGCCTACGACGCCGATGTTGACATCAGGGATTACAGTGGGAAAAAGGCCTCCCAGTACCTGAGTCAGAGCATCGCAGAGGAGATAAAGAACCTGGTGGGAGCCCTAGACGAGGAGGACGGTGAAAGCGCTGCTGGCAGCGGGGGTGGGCGCTGGAGGCTTTCAAAGGTACTCCCCTCACATCTCATCACCTACAAACTCTCCCATGTCCTGGAGGATGGGGGCGATCATCACCACCACCACCATCATCACCATCACCACTTAGCTGAAGGATTGGCTGGAGGTAAAGGAAAAGAGCCAGGTCGCAAAGCCTTGGGCAGCTCTAGTGGCCGTATAAAGCCCAGACTCAACAAAATCCGATTCCGAACCCAAATCATCCACACCACACCCTCTATCAGGGACCCAGACCAGCCACTGGAGGAGGGGGAGGAGGAGGAGGAAGAACGGTCTCTTAAAGGCCACGCATCCTCCTTCAAATTGAGACCAAAGTCCAATGTATTTGGGTAAAAATACTTCCTTTTAGAAAATACTAAGGTTTATTTGTCTTCAGAAATAGAATAGTATTTGTGGGTAAAGAAATTAGACCAGAAAATACTGAGGCTAATTATGCATTCTTGAGTTGGAATGGATGAGAAGGAGGTCTTTTCAGGGGGAAGTGGATTTTTTTTTAAGTTATTCATCATACCTGACCTATATCTCTTTTCCCTACTCCACCTCTGTCCTGGAGTCCATGCTTCTGAAGACCAGAAATGTATCTAAATTGGGGTGGGGGTAGAACTGATGACTGTGGGTTCCTTTGCTTTAATGATTACTGGATGCCCTGCAAAATAGGGAATAGTGCACTTTTATGTATCTGTTTTTATAAGTGGTTACTCTTCCAAGAGAAACAAAAAATGCAAATTGTAATGAAACTGGTAGTGTTTATAAATTGGAAAGCCACATGCTGCCCTATTTTGGTTTGGGCTTTTTTTTTCTTACTAATTGCATTTGCTTTTTAAGGTACTACTGAAGGTTAGAGTTGAAATGCAAAAATACTAATTAGAGAATAATGTGAATAGAATAAAAAGAAAATGCTGTTGGTATCCTATTTCTGTTGTAAGTAGCAGTTCACTTTTTTAAAAGCTATTTCAGTTTTAATCGAAAAATGAAAGAAATGGGCAACATCCACTTTTGAGTTACCTAATCTGTAGTATGGTTTCCACTTAACTATCTCTAATGCTACTGTTAAGGTACACCACTGATAAGGCACACCAGTGTTAAGGTACATTATTAATTACTACACAAATTTTTTATTTAAATAAAAAACACTCTTAGCCTGTGGTACGTTTAAATAAAACATTGCCTCATTCTGATTTTCACTGACTTGTGTTGCTATTCTGAAAGTCTAAATTTGCTGTAGTTTTTATTCTGGGGATAATGGTACTATTTGGCATAACCCTATTTCATCGTGCCTAGAGTTGAATTACCTACAGAAACTATTTCTGGTTTAGTTAGTAATGAGTAAAAATTGGCATAAATATTAGTGAGCCCATCCTTCTGTGAAGTAATTATTAAACCAACTTTAATGATTCCCACATAAGATACACTTTTTATTTTATTAATACATTTATAGCCTGCTTTGCAGTAATGTTTTGGAGATGTTTAAAATGCTAAAATCCTTTCAATTTTCCAACATTTCCTTGAATCTATTAGATATCTATTAGATATTTATGGTGTGGTTACTGAAAAACTGTATAGTAAATCTACCCAGTTAAATATGGCACTTTATGAAAGGGAAAAGAGAAGAGATGAGACTATTTCTATATATAAAGGCTGCTGGCTATTGAATTCTTTCATATGCTATTCATAAAATACTATTAATTAAAATTAAAGACGTCTAAAGTATGGTTCTTCACTACATTTCATTCATTTATACAGTAAGTGGCTTTATAACTACTTTAAAATTTAACTCATAAGCATATTATTATAAACTTTTGTAACAAGATTAGAAACAACTTTTGTGGGAGACTAATTTGAAAAACTGCTCCCTTCGTCTTTTGGGTCTCATGATTACTGTGCCCTCAGTGCCGACAGCCTACTGAGTGAACAGCCTGAAGGTAAATGTCGCCATGTGAATTGCACAAAGCTGCTTGTGCGGCATTTAGAGCTCTTAGATCTTTAATTTTCCAAGTCAAAGAAATTTGTCAGAAGTTTGTCACATCTCTCTCCAGATGGCAATTGAATTTATTTAAAATGTGGATGAAAAATATTCACATAAAATATATAAACTATTATCCATTTGTGTGCCTTTTGTTTTAGGATCATGGATATGGATGATGTACATTTGAAAAGCACTTTTATCCATACTTGTGGGTAGAAACCAATCTAATTTTGTATAAATTAAAAAGAAGTTCTTTGAAGGTGAAAACGATCATTCATTCATACATGTTGCCTTTATCTAGTGCAGAATAAGCTATAACTTCCCATTGAGGAATTATAAATTTCATAGGCATGTAAAGTTGAAGTAACTTTAAAGACTAGACACTTCACAGCCATCAAAAGGTACAGTTGACTCACAGTATGAATCTCTTAAATGTATATGTTGATAGCTAATTGCACAAAATCTTTAATTTGCTAGATCTTTAGAGATTGAGTCATATATCATGTGCTTTGCTTTTCACACTAAAGGCTTTTAACTTTTCTGATAAAATATTTTTTGATAAATTATTTTAAATTTTCAAAAATCATTCCTGAGGGGAATTAATTCTAGCATTCCTTGTCATGATGTGCTTGTGTGCAGTAAATGTAGCATTTTCAGCTACTTAACTCTACATTCCTCTTATTTTTCAGTTCCAAATAGAGATTGTAAAAAGCAAATGTTCTGTGTAACTTGATGTCGATGGAGCCTACCATTAATGGAGATATATGTCAGATACTTAGGTGTTTATTGGTATGACACTGTGATTAAAAAGCCCAAATGTGCCCGTGTGTTTTTTCAGGTACAAGAGTGTTTGTCACATTTCTCTTCACTTTCATGATATGTAAAATGCAGCTAACTCATGTAACTTGAAAACCTGGTACTATTTTATTCATGCCTGAAACTTGGAGTCTAGGCTGCTTTGTGTCTTGCTTTTTAACTAAGTAAAAGTTTGGGAGTCTGAGAATGTTAAAGTCTGTTTGTAAAATTTGTTTTGTTAAAATAAAAGGATCACACTAGAATTTTCCTCTGAATTGTCTAAATTTCTCTAGTCTCTTAGACTTTTTACATGTGTTTCATGGTTCACTGAATGCTTTTCGAAGTTTCCCTTTATTTGACCCTTTCCCGACAGATGAGGAAATGAAGGTTGATGGCTGTTCAAGATTATGCAGTAAATGGCAGTTAATACTATCTTAAATGTCAGTCTTTAATACAACATTGTCTTTTCCACACTTTAACTAACAAAATTTTTAGCAAAACTGCTGTAGTTTGGTATCAGTGGTGGGAGAATCAACTTTGAGAGAAGGTAGTAAGTACCTCCACCCCTGCCTTTCCCAAAAACCATAGGAGTTATGCAATCACCATCCACCGTAAACCTTCCCTGTCCATACCTCTCCTCAAGAGAGATGTGGGAGTGCCTTTTTCCATTTTCTTCAACTTCCATCAAGCATTAGATGTTAATGAATTTATTTCTTTATTAGGAATAACTTGATCTACATTTTTAACAAAATTCAACTCTATTAGATAGCAAAGAGATGTGGGAACTTTTGGTGTAATTGCTGTTTCTCTCTTAGGGAGATCCCACTCTGATTGCTGCTGAGGGGTTTCATTGCTTTCTGACAACTCATAACTTTTTTTTGGTGAGACATAGTGTCTGTTCCCCTAAGTAGAATGTCCTGGTGTCAGTTCACAGCAACCTCAAACTCTTGGGCTCATGCAATCCCCTTGCCCCAGCCTCCCAAGTAGCTGGGACTATAGTCAGGCGCCAGCCACAATGCCTGGCTAATTTTCCTACTTTTAGTACAGACACTGTCTCATGTTTGCTCTGCTGATCTTGAACTCCTGAGCTCAAGCAATCTGCCCTTCTCAGCCCCCCAGAATGCAAGGATTGCAGGCATGAGCCACCATAGTCAGCCTAGTTTCTTTTTCTAGAATGACTTTTTTCCTAAGGCGTACATGTCTTAACAGGATTCATTGAGCATTGTAGTTAAAGATATCTTTGACATTTTTCTTGGTGAAACTTTTAATAAGTAAATGGCATTATCTGGACTTTCTTGTACAGTTAATCCCAAAATTAAATACTCTGGGGATTTGCTCCAAACAGTGTTCTTCAATATTGAGAAAAATCTTCATAAATCACTTATTACAGGTCTGGAATAGGACTCTGTGAACATGTTTCTCATGATACAGGAGTTGAGCTGTTCACATCACTACCTGCTTTTTCCCTAAAGATAGCCCTTTCATGTCACCACATTTTTTTCTTATTAATCTTCTCCTTATATGTCAGTTTCATCTTGGGAAGTGTATTTCCCCTTCTATAAATAAATTGACTATTTTTTCCATGTTGATGTATTGCTGAGGAATGAGTGATAAATGCCCTACCCTTGTGTGGGTGCCTGGTATGTTGAAGGGTACTCAGTAAGTGGGTCTTTTAATGGAAATTATTAATTTTCCATTATGTTGCAGAATATAGATAATTCAACAGTATGCACTCATGCTAAGTGAATGAAAGTATTTTTCATGCAACATGGCCATTATTATTATTATTATCATTTTGAGACAGCCTCAAGCTATTGCCTTGCGTAGAGTGCTGTATCATCACAGCTCACAGCAACCTCCAACTCCTGGGCTCAAGCGATTCTCTTGCCTCGGCCTCCCAAGTAGCTGGGATTACAGGCACCTGCCACAAGAGCTGGCTATTTTTTGGTTGTAGTTGTCGTTGTTTGGCAGGCCCAGGCTGGATTCGAAGCCTCCAGCTCTGGTATATGTGGCTGGCGCCTTAGCCACTTGAGCTACAAGCACCGAACCGCAACATGGCTATTAAATGCCAACCAACTACTTTATCTGCAGCTCTGCCAAAAGAACAGCAATTTATTCCAGTCATGGAGGTAAAATTGGCTTTATTAGAATTTTACTTTTTGAGCAATTTAAGAGTTCCAACGTAAATTTGATTATAAGAAATTTTTAGCTTACAAGCTGACTCAAGCGCATGACCCCTTGGGAGAATCTACTCTAACTGGCCTTAAACATCCTAAGCACTATCGGGGATACAAATGACCACTTTTTGGGTGAAACCCCAGAGAATGAATAAATAGGGAAATGAATTTTAGGTTAGGTTAGAGGACTTCATACTAATCATCTTAAACATGCCATTGGCTCAGCGCCCATAGCTCAGTGGTTAGGGTGCCAGCCACATGCACCAGGGCTGATGGGTTCAAACCTGGCCAGGGCCTGCTAAACATCAATGATAACAATAACTTAAAAAACAGCCTGGCATTGTGGTGTGCGCCTGTAGCCCTAGATACGGGGAAGCTGAAGCAAAAGAATCACTTAAGCCCAAGAATTTGACGTTGCTGTGAGCTGCGACAGCACATCACTCTACTGAGGGCAACATAGTGAGACTGTCTCAAAAAATAAATAAATAAACATGCCGTGGACTGCCTGATGAGGTACAACATTCAGCCTTTGGAATTAATGGTGAGATTACACAAGCACTGGAAAGTTAAAATAGATCATTTTGAAACACAGTTATGATGATTCTTTCTAAAGAAACACAATTTTAGACCATACCTATTCTGACCAATGCTTTAGCCCAAAGTGGCCAGACTTAGAATGATATTAACCAACGCTTCATGAGTAGGATGAAATAGGATCATATAATGGTCTCTTTTTTTTTTAACCCAATTTTATGCTGTTCTGATCAAGGAACCTGGGAGCCCCCATTGGACTACTAATCTGGGTTTCTAAGAAACTTTGGATTTAATAGTCTAGAAATATAATGGAGCATTCTCAGGACTTGTCTAGAAGTTTTCTATTGATACATGGGATTTTCAAGTTTTTTTTCAAGAGGCAATTATTTTAAGTCAGCAGTTCAATACTATGGCCATGTGCTGAGTCTACACCAAAAGGATTCTAAACTTGGCTAAGGATTGTCTTTGGCTGTATGAAAATGGCTGATACTTTCAGGAAGCTTACTGTGTGTGCCAGGCGAGGTTTCAAGCACTTTACAAAAAGTCAGCTTAGAGGGATTCGAGGGTTCACTTCTGTGGTTCATCTTGCAAGGGTACAAGTGAATCTTTCTATGAGTAGAATATGAATGTTTTGACATAATAAC